AACACCCTTCACCACCTCTGTACTCACCAGATAACCTTCAGTTCCCTTCCAGCAGCTTCAAATGTCTGCCTATGCGTACACTTACAGGCTTGTGCTAGAAAAAGAACGGGGCATATCCCCTGTAGCCCATCCTCAAGTAGGGGCGACAGGAGCGTAACTAATAGCGCACAGCTTTAAAAGTATGCTAGAGGGCTTCCCTGGTGGCGCAGTGGTTGAGAGTCCGCCTGCCGATGCAGGGGACCCGGGTTCGTGCCCTGGTCCGGGGAGATCCCACATGTCGCGGAGCGGCTGGGCCCGTGAGCCATGGCCGCTGAGCCTGCGCGTCCGGAGCCTGTGCTCCACAACGGGAGAGGCCTCAACAGTGAGAGGCCTGCGTACAGCAAAAAAAAAAAAAAAAAAGAAGTATGCTAGAGGTCAGAGAGAGCTAAGAGAGGGATGTCATAGAGGGAGGCCCAACGCAGAGGGCAATGCCTTGGTCCCCTCAGTGGCCCTCAGCTCAGAAGCACAAGGTTCTCAGTCCACACAGACTTGATCTTGCTTACGGGGGCTAATTCATGCTAAAGAGACTCACAGACACCAGTAACTAAACAATCGTAAAGCCAATTTAATAACTTACCTTTTCGGTAGCTATTCATATCTGCCGTCCAGGACGTTGCCTGAAATGCATTAATTCGGGCACTCATTCGACAAGGATTTCATAAGCACCAAGTACCCTTTAGCAAACTGTGAGCACCTGGTTGGGGGGAAAACGCAGCCAAAGGTGGTGGAGACCCAGAAATGGGAGGTGCAATTGTGCAATGAGCTTGGCGTCAACCTAGTGTTCAAACGCAGTCAACTATTTACTAGACAGGTGACTGGGAAAATTACTTAACCTTCCTGAGTCTCTTTCCTCATCTGTAAAATGGGCATAACAACACTCCCTCACATGATTGTTAAAGAATTGAATGGGATTACACATGCAAATTGCTTAGTTTTATTTATGGTTATATTCATCTGGAGAGGCTGTGTCATACAATGGTTAAGGGAACAGACTTTGGGATCAGACAGATCTGGGTTTAAATTCTAGATCTACCATTTACTAGTGTATGATCTTGGGCAAGTTGCTTTTTTCCGGTAAGCCTCAGTTTGCTCATTTGTAAAATGGGAATAAAAATTCCTCATGGGTCAAAGAAGTAAATAAGATAGTGTATTCAAAGGATTTCGAAAATCCTAGGTTATGAGAAGCATTCAACAAATGGTTATGTTTAAGAGTTGTTTTTAAACGTTGTCCGTGATTAGACACAATGAATGGTACACATACTAAAAATTAAAGTTAAAATTAGTACAAGGGGCTTCCCTGGTGGCGCAGTGGTTGAGGGTCCGCCTGCTGATGCAGGGGACACGGGTTCGTGCCCCGGGCCGGGAAGATCCCACATGCCACAGAGCGGCTGGGCCGTGAGCCATGGCCGCGGGGCCTGCGCGTCCGGAGCCTGTGCTCCGCAATGGGAGAGGCCATAGCAGTGAGAGGCCCGCGTACCGGAAAAAAAAAAAAAAAAAAAAAAAATTAGTACAAGCTTCTTTAATGAAATTAAATATGGGGCCATCAAACATTACACAAAAAAGTGATCACTTTGTAGTTAGTTGTTAAAAAAAAACTTTTCTGTGGAAGCAGGCCTCTAATCTCAGGTAGTTTCATGTCCACATTTTCAAGTTTCTAAAATAATATCATTTGTCTGCAGCCATGCAAAAACTCAGTTTCAATACTGCTAAGTCAAGCCCCAGGGAGAACCAGAGAAGCACATTTGGGATCTTTCTAGTTTGTCTGACAGGAACCCGGGTACCCATAAAGCATTATGCATTTGGTTTAACGATTACACACCAACGTATACACTGTGTGATTACAACAGAAGCCCCTGCAGAAATGAACACATCACTTCTCTCAATTCTGGATCATCCCTTTGATTAATTCTCCCCACTGACACTGTCAATTTTTTAAAATTAATTAATTTATTTTTGACTGCATTGGGTCTTCATTGTTGCATGCAGGCTTTCTCTAGTTGCGGCGAGCGGGGGCTTCTCTTCGTTGCAGTGCCCGGGCTTCTCATTGCGGTGGCTTCTCTTGTTGCGGAGAACGGGCCCTAGGGCGCAGGCTCAGTAGTTGTGGTGCACGGGCTTAGTTGCTCCGCGGCATGTGGGACCTCCCGGACCAGGGCTCGAACCTGTGTCCCCTGCATTGGCAGGCGCATTCTTAACCACGGTGCCACCAGGGAAACCGACACCGTCAACTTTTAAGTGGTTTACAAAGCTTATAAAACCATGGAAGAGTAATCTTCAACTTTGATAAAAATCAAAACATCTTTCAATTCTAACCTTGCAAATTCGAATGTTGTAAAACAAAGGTCAGCCCCTTATCCACCTCACCCTGTCCTCAGTAACATTGCTATTTCATCCAGATCCGGGAAACCACACTGCCGCCCAGGACACTGCTCCAACCGCTCACTTATTTGGCTCTTGCTCTAGAGTCAAGTATGTTTTCACATTTCAGAGTGGACTCAGTGCATTTTTACAGTCGCAACCGAAATTTTACACAAAATATAAGTATCTGAAAGAATTGGCGAGTTTCCGTAATCACATGAACAGAACTAAAATATGAGAGGCTCTTTGTAAATAGTAATCGTTTTCGAGCGAATACACTGGGAACATCGTTAGCAACACCTGTTTTCGGCTTTCCTTTGCCGGGCAAGGAAGTCAATTTGTAAACACTGGAGAGGAGGATTCCACAAACGGTAACCTGATGCGAGGCTTACTTTCAGCAAAGTGACGGTGGAGCACGAGAACATAGAGGACCCCCTCCCCCCAACACCAGGATCGCTTCAGGAGGCACCGGAGTTACGAACTAATTTGGTGTTTTCCTCTTTAGAAAATGGGTGGACGTGAGCGACCAGCCAAACTGGGCTTGCAGGCCGGGCGCCGCGGAGGGAGCGAGGCGGGCGGTTGAGTCACGATCGCCGCGGCCACGCACACCTGAGCTTCGGAGGATAAAAGGCGGCACCTGGGACGAAACACCCAGGCCCTCCAACTTTCGCCCTCTGCCCAGGCCTAGGGGAGTGGGGAGGAAAAGCAACTTCTTTCTCAAGACTCGACAACGGGCGTCCCCAAGGAACGGACGGGGCAGAGAGAAGCCCCCGAGAGTTCCCCCGCCCGGAGCGGGAACTCGTGCGGGAACGCGGCCTCGGGAGCAGCAACGCCGCTGCCGAACAAGCGGGGGAGGGGGACCAACCGCCATCTTCCTCGAGCGCCCAAACCGACAAAGCGCGAGACAGCTGCAAAACTTCGCCGCCGCGGCCCGCCCACTCTCGCGAGCCCGCGAAGGCCTCTGGGAAAAACGGGGGAGGGGAAAGCGAGAGAAGGAAGCCGGGATGCAGGGCTGGAGGCGGGCCGAGGCGGTGAGCGGAGCCTCAGGAAGCAGAAGGGGCGGGGAAAGGCGCGACTGACGCGAAATGCTGGCCAATGACGAGCGAGCTCGGGTGGACGGCCAGCCAATGGGCTGTGCGGCCTGGCGCGGGGGGCGGGCGCTGGGGCCGAGGGTAGCTTGAGCGCGGCGGCGGCGTTGTTCAGTCACAGCGAGAACATTCCAGAGGTGAGTCCGGTGGAGGAGCGGAAGCGCCACACCCGGTCCCCCGTTCTCCCCGCACCCTCGACCCCCGCAGGCCGCTGGCTGGCGGGGAAGGCGCCCCGACGCCCGCGGCTCACTGCACCTTCTCTCCGCGCCAGGTCG